CCTGGAGAACCAGCTGCCATCTCAGCCTGTTGAGAAATCCCTGGAGAACCAGCTGCCATCTCAGCCTGCTGTGGAAACTCTGGGGTGCAGGCTGCCTTCCCAGAATGCCATGGAAGCTCTGGAGGGTGCTTTCCTGAACATTGGCAAAAGCTTTTGTGAAACTCTCCCAAATTCTTGAATTGACTTTTCTTGAAAATCTTCTTAAGTCTGCAGTCATTCCTATTGCTTGTGCATCTTTTCCTACCACACTTTTCCCTTCCAGTCAACTTTGTATTAATATGGTTTCTGGTCAACTGTCAAGTCAGCAGTCTTCACCATGATTGTGGGTGTGTGTACTGAACTATAGTGGGTGTGTGTACTGAACTATACATAGAACTACATAGTATTTATACTGTTTTTTTATACTGTTATACTGTTTCAATAGTAATTTACTAAAATTTGAAATTATATTTCTAATAATTTGAGATGTTATTTACATGTTTTTAAACTGTAGACCACAATTGTCACAATTAAAATAGATAATTGCTTGATACCTTTAAATTTATATGTANAATTTTCACTTTCTTAAATTACTGATGGAAAATCTTGTGATGGCTAGACAACTGGGACATAGCATCTCCAAAACTGTAACTCTTGTGGGGTGTTCTAGGTCTGCAGTGGTCAGTATCTATCAAAAGTGGTCCAAGGAAGGAACAATGGTGAACCGGTGACATCATCAAGGCTCATTGATGCACGTGGGAAGTGAAGGCTGACCTGTGTGGTCCAAATTGCTGAAGAAGTTAATTCTGTTCTGACAGAAAAGTGTCAGAATACACAGTGCATCACAGTTCGTTGTGTATGGAGCTGCATAGCTGCAGACCAGTCAGGGTGCCCATGATGACCCCAGGACACCACCAAAAGCACCAGAGCAGCAGAACTGGACCACAGAGCAATGGAAGAAATGGCCTGGTCTGATGAATCATGTCTTCTTTTACATCATGTGGATGGTCGGGTGTGTTTTGCTTACCTGGGGAACACATGGGGCCAGGATGCACTGTGGGAAGAAGGCAAGGTGGCAGAGGCAGCTTTGAGCAATGTTCTACTGGGAAACCTTGGGTCCTGCCATCCATGTGGATGTTACTTTGACATGTACCACCTACCTAAGCATTGTTACAGAACATGTACACCCTTTCATGGAAATGGTATTCCCTGATGGCTGTGGCCTCTTTCAGCAGGATAATGCTCCCTGCCACAAAGCAAAAATGGTTCAGGAATGGTTTGAGGAGCACAACAATGTGTTTGAGGTGTTGACTTGGCCTCCAAATTCCCCAGATCTCCATTCAATAGAGCATCTGTGGGATGTGCTGGACAAACAAGTCTGATCCATGGAAGTCAGAAACCAACAGCATCGCTGAGAGATGAGAAACTGCATACCAGCAGAGGAGGCACTTGTGAGCATTCAGTGTTTAATGAGACTTACTGTACATTTACCTATACTTAGACTCATCTCTGAACATCAGGTGTTGCCCTTTGGAGAACTGCATGTTCCTCACAGGGAAGTACATTATCGCATAATAACATAATGCGGATTTAAACCTCATGAATTTGTTCGCTTATTAACTCCTATACTCTTTTAGGTTCACAAAAATGACCTATTTTTCATTTTGCTCACACTAAAATGATTTCATTCATGTGTTTAAATTTCTCTAACAAACACTTAGAGGGGAAAGTGGGGCATGCAGACATTTGGCAGATTTACATTCATGTCATCTAGCTAATGCCTCTTTCCAGAGCAACTTACATTTATCCTATTTATGCAACTAAACAGTTGAAGGGTTAAGGGATTTGCTCCCAGGCCCAGCAGTGGCAGCCGGATTTAAACTCATAACCTTTCAGTCAGTAGACCAAGGGTTTGACCAATAAGCTACCACTTCCCTACACATACAGTTGAGGTCAGAGGTTTACATACAGTACAGTCGTCATATATACTGAACAAAAATATAACGCAACACTTTTGGTTTTGCTCCCATATTGCATGAGCTGAACTCAAAGATCTGAAACATTTTCTACATACACAAAAGACCCATTACTCTCAAATATTGTCCACAAATCTGTCTAAATCTGTGTTAGTGAGCACTTCTCATTTGCCCAGATAATCCAACCCACCTCACAGGTGTGGCAGATCAAGGTGCTGATTGGACAGCATGAATATTGCACAGGTGTGCCTTAGACTGGCCACAATAAAAGGCCACTCTGAAATGTGCAGTTTGATCACACAGCACAATGCCACAGATGTCGTAACGTTTGAGGGAGCGTGCAATTGGCATGCTGACTGCAGGAATGTCTACCAGAGCTGTTGCCCGTGAAATGAATGTTCATTTCTCTACCATAAGCCGTCTCCAAAGGCGTTTCAAAGAATTTGGCAGTAGATCCAACTGGCCTCACAACCGCAGACCACGTGTAACCACACCAGCCCAGGACCTCAACATCCAGCATGTTCACCTCCATGATCGTCTGAGACCAGCCACCCGGACAGCTGCAGCAACAATCGGTTTGCATAACCAAAGAATTTCTGCACAAACTGTCAGAAACCGTCTCAGGGAAGCTCATCTGCATGCTTGTCGTCCTCATCGGGGTCTGGACCTGACTGCAGTTCGTCGTCATACAGATTTAGGCAGATTTGTGGACAATTTTTGAGAGTAATGGGTCTTTTGTGTATGTAGAAAATGTTTCAGATCTTTGAGTTCAGCTCATGCAAAATGGGAGTAAAACCGAAAGTGTTGTGTTTATATTTTTGTTCAGTGTATATGAATGTGATGGCAAATCCAAGCTTTCAGTGATTTCTTTAGACTGTTCTTTTGCTTTCTTAAAATCAATATTGCCATGACATTAATGTCCATAACTTCTAACCACAACTGTAGATTTAATAAGTATATTA